ATCCTCTTCTTGTATTTTGGTCTTCCCTTCACCATACTAGCTTCCTTGGGTCAGGGCTTTTTTTGGTTTGTTTTTGTTTTTTGCTCATTTTCCATCCTATTTCACGACTTTTGAAGTTGAGTTCTGCTCCTGGGGCACAAGGAGCTCTGTGCCAAGCTTCTTGGACTAGGGGCCTGGTCACTGGCTTGCTGCAGTGGCTCACCTGTTGTACGGGGCCTCCGGAGCTGGCAGCTCACCTATTGTGTCCAGGCTAGAGGCCTCACAGCTGTGAGTTTAGGAATGATATTTTTTAAACTCTGCACTGCTGCGCAGCTAGGCTGCTGAGCCAGGTTGCTGATCTGTCCTGGGGCTAGGGGCCTCCCACTGGCTTGCCTGGGCATTGCCTAGGCTGCACGGTCCCCTGATACCCATGTGAAACAGACCTGTCCTGCAGTCCTCCTAAGTTATCTTGGACTGGAAAATTGTTTCACCCTGTCCTTTTGTGGGTTTTGTCATTCCAGAATTCATTTGATGGCTTTATTAAAAGTTGTTTCAAGAGAAACTGAGGAGATCTCAGACAACTTCCTGCCTTTTCTTTGCCATTGTGGCTCTGCTTCTCCCCCACCCACACACACACACTTTAAGGACAGAACTTGAACCCAGGTTCTCCTGAATCCAAGGTGGCCCCTCTAATGACTTCATCACATTGCTTTTTTCTAAAATAATAATGATCACTACCACCATATATGACCATGGGCATATCAGTTAACTTTTCATCAGTGTCAAGCAACTCTCTAAGAGTATAAGTTATAGAGAAATGTCAATCTGCATCCATGGAGGGAGTTTACACACCTGGAATTCCCTACATCAATGAAAGCAGAAGACCAGACTACAAGGTAAAGAATGACAGGGGCAAAGGAAAGCATCATCCAAAGTATTCTAGGAAACTGAGAACAATGCAAGAAGCACAGGTAAAATAAATAGACCTAAATGGAGATTTAATAATAAAATCCTGGACAATGGAATCAAAGAACAAATCATAGAAACAATTAATAATTACGTGAAAGAGAGTGATGACGATGAACAGACAAGAAACATGCATTTGGGGTTTCTCAGCTTAAGATAGACGTAGGTCACTATGCACAAGGAGGCTCTGATTTCTGTCAAGAAAATCAGTAAAAAGTCACATCTTGAGAAGCCATTTGAAAAACTTCCAAGAAGACTCAGCAAGGTGGATGAGGAGGTTTAGAAGTGAAGTTGCTTACAGAAGGCAGAACCTGACAGAGCTAAGAAGCTGAAAAAAGGTAACAGAAGCACATCTTATACCAAGTGACTGGAGATAAGAAGATTTTGCAGTTGATGGGTGGAGCTGATCTGATTGGAGGAAAGCTTGATGCTGGGAACCAACTGGAATGCCACATTCTATGCTATGTGAAGAGTTGGGTGAGGAAAATCTGCCTCACTCTCTAGTATCATCTATAGCTTGAGAGAAGATAAATCCTTAAAAGGCTTGCCTAAATTGTCCTTTGCTGCCTTCTTTTGACTCTAGAGTGGAAAATCCCTCAAAGCTTATATAATAAGCTAGATTGGAATAGCATATTTGCAAATTTAAAGGGAACCACTTTTCACTAAGGGCAGCTAGGTGGCACCATAGTGCACAGGGCCCAGGCCTGGAGTCAGGAAGACTCATCTTCCTGAGTTCAAATCCAGCCTCAGACACTTACCAATTGTTTGACCCTGGGCAAGTCATTTCACCCTGTTTGTTGGACACAACTGAAACAATCCAACAACAACAACAAAAACTTTTCACTGAAAGAGGAATGGGTCATCCAGTCTTAATTTCTAGCAAAGCATGGTGGTTGTGGCTGGCCATCATGCCTGATCTCTCCTCCCCCACTTCTACCTGCCAACATGAGTGCAGGTTGGGGTGAGTGAGGTAGCCCAGAGAGAAGAGAAGAGGGGGTATGGCTGTCACATTGGATGTCATTCTCTCTATATGTGCTAAAATATAAAATGCCTATATCAATAGAACACCAAAAAGTGATCCATATGGATCTACAGAAGTCTATCAAAATTTTAAAAAACAATTAATAACTATACTTCAAAAATTCTTAAAAATTGAAAAAGAAAGTACTTTTCTAAACTCCTTTTAATGAAATGTAATCTGAGTATTTAAATCAATGAATGAAAAAACAAAGAAAACTATAGAATATCAATATATCAATTCCAAAATTTTAAATAAAATCCTTAAAATTACTATGAGAATTTGTCCAAAAAACATTTAATATAATTAAGTTGAATTGCGCAATGACTAACTTTGATAGACTTAGCTCTTATCAGCAATGCAATTATCTACAACAATTCCAAGGGACTCATGATGGAAAATGCTATCCACATCCAGAGAAAGAACTATGGAGTCTGAATGCAAATGGACTCTCTCTCTCTTTTTTTCCCTCTCTCTTTTTTTTTCTTTCTTGTGGTTTTTCCCTTTTGTTCTGATTCTTCTTTCATAACATGACTAATGTGGAAATATGTTTAATATGATTGCACATGTATAGCCTATATCAGATTGTGCGCCGTGTTGGGTAGGGAGAAGGGAAGGAAGGGAGAAAAAAAATTGAAACTCAAAATCTTGTAAAAGTGGATGTTGAAAACTATCTCTGCATGTAATTGGAAAAAATAAAATACTATTAAATGGAAAAAATATAATTAAGTTGAATTTATATCAGGGATGAAAGGAAGGTCAACATTAGGAAAATAACTAACATGATCTTATTAAAAACAAAAACATCCTAAACCACATGACTAATCAATAAATGCAGAAAAAGGTTTTGACAATGTATAAAACTCATTTACACTAAAAATCCTACAAAGCATAGACATAGAAAGATCATTTTATAATATGATTTCTAAAAAGTGTTTACCTAAAACCAAAAATTATCATTATATGCACTGGGAAACACTAAAAATTTTCTTTTTTTTTCAGCCAAAAGCAAAGTTTCTTAAAGATCCTCCATATTAGCCAGACTCTTAAGGAATCTGAGCATCTGTGAGCTATTGGCTACATTGTAAAAATCTGAACAGTGACTGGATTATAGGAATCCAAGCATCTTAATGGAAACAAGATGGACCTTATATACAGAAAGACTATGGGAGTGGCCAAGTAGTCTAAGGTAATAGAACTCCAGAGGTGGCCAAACTAAAAACTTTCTTTAGTTTTTTTTATTTTATTTTATTTTTAGCTCATTTAAAAACATTTTATTTAAGTTGACTAGCTATTGCCATATCCTGAAAAAGTTAATAGCTAAGTTTTATCTTTTTTTAACTTTATTTATTTTTAGTTTTCAACATTCACTTCCTCAAGATTTTGAGTTCCAAATTTTCTCCCCATCTCATCCCTCTCCCACCCCAAGATGGCATGCATTCTGTATACGCCTTCCCCTAATCTGCCCTCCCTTCTATCTCTCCCCCCCTTCTCTTATCCCCTACCCCTTCTATTTTCCTGTAGGTCAGGATATATGTCAATATCCCATTTCCTGTATTTCTTATTTCCCAGTTGCATATGAAAACAATTCTAAAAACTTTCTTAATAAATACAAGTGTAAATCAAGGATATTCCTAATCCCCACTCGTTGTTTGTTTATTTTTTTGACAGTTTTAGAAGTGCCATCAATAGCAAGAAAATGAGAAAAAGAAAATTATGAGGAAGAGAAAGACAAAGATTATTAAGTACCTGTTAAATGCAAGGAAATATGCTCGTTCTTGAGGACACAAAAGCATAAATGATATTTCTTAACTTCAATAAGATTACTATGAGGCTATGATAGGGTAAAAAAAAAACCTCTCCAGTTTGAGAGTGTTGATTTGATTTGTATTTTGCCTCTCTGAGAGGTGACTTCTCTGAATTAAAGCAAGAAAATATAAACAAGTACTGATTTCTGTTCCTCCTTTCTGATATTCAGACCTATGCTTCAGGTATATCAATTTGGCAGCTGTGGGAAGAATGAATTGGAGAGGAGAAAGACTAAAGTCAAGAAGCCCAACTAGGAAGCCATCAATATAATTCAGGTTAGAGGTGATAAGGGCCTGAACTGAGTGGGGCCCTTGTGTGACCAGAGAGAGGAGTAGTGAAGTGAGAGCTCTTGAGGAGATAGAATTGACAAGCCTTGGTAACTGATTGAATATGGGGTCGTGAGAGAGAGTGAAGAGGGGAAGATGATTCATAGGTTGTGAACCTGGGTGAACGGAAATAACCTCAATAGGGAATTTGGGGGTGGAGGGAATGATTAGGGGAAAGAGAATGAATTCTATTTTAGACTTACTGGGTTTGAAATGCCTATGGGGCCGCAGGTGGGGCAGTGAATAGACTGCCAGGCCTGGAGTCAGAAAGACTCATCTTCCTGGCTGTGTGACCCTGGGCAAGTCACTTAATTCTGTTTGCCTCAGCTCCTCATCTGTAAAACGAGCTGGAGAAGGAAATGGCAAGCCACTCCAGTATCTTTGCCAAGAAAACCCCAAATGGTGTCAAGAAGAGTTGGAAACGACTAAACAACCACAAACAATAAATACTTGATAATTACTTCAATTAATGAATGGATAATTAAATAAATAAGTAAACAAAGGAAAGGATGAATGATCAATCAATAAACATTAATTAAATCACTACTACTACTATTACTATTACTACTACTACTACTACTACTACTACTACTACGTAAGCGCTTTCTATGTATCAGGAATGGTTCTAAGTCTGGGAATACAAAAAAAAAAAAAAAAGAGGAAAAAGACGGTCCTGCCCTCAAGGAGCGACAATAAGATGACGGGGTTGGACCAGGAGGCGCCAGAGGTCCCGCCCCACCAACGAACTTTTGCGAGGGAGGCGGGGAGCAGGCGGAGCCCCTGGTTTTCTTCCTCCAACCAGCAGGGGGAGACGTGCTGGGGAAACGTGCTGGGTCTGCTTTTCTCGGCCTCCTCCCGGCGCGACGACAGACTGCGCAAGCGCGGGCGTGCTCGACGTCACGTCCTGTCAAGATGGTGCTGGTGGAGCACGTTGTGGCGGACGCCGGGGCCTTCCTGCGGGATGCGGCGCTGCAGGCACGAGGAGCTCGGGCCCGGCCCGGGAGGGGAGGGGAGGGAAGAGGAGGGGGCGTCCTCCCGAACCATGGGGTCAGGGCGGGGGCGCTGGAAGGGAGGCAGAGCTCCTCCCCCTCCCCCTTCGCTGACCCTCTGACCCCCTACAGGACATCGGGAAAACCATCTACACCATCAGGGAGGTGGTGACCGAGATCCGCGACAAGGCGACCCGGCGGCGCCTGGCCGTCCTGCCCTACGAGCTGCACTTCAAGGAACCCTGCCCTGAGTACGTGAGGCTGGGTGAGTGCGGGGACCCCGGGCACCCCTTCTCCACTTCTCTCCTACCCTTACTCCTCCCTCTTGCTCTCCTTCTCTCCTTCCCCTCCTCTTTCTCTCCCCTGCCCCTCTCCCTTCTTTTCCTCTGCATCCCCACTCCCTCTCTACTCGCTCTCCTGTCCCTTCTCCCCTCTCCTTCTCCTCTTCTTTTCCTCTACCCCTCCGCTTTCCTCCTCTTTTCCCCTCCCCTCCTTACCACCACCCCCTCCCCCTCGGTGCTGCTTCAACTGCACCAGGACTTTTGGGACACCTGGTCTTTTCTCCTTTGTTCCTCATCTGGGGGAAAAGTGACTGTTGGCTTGGTGACTTGATCTGGGGTTGGGTGGGCAGGATGTCAGGAATGACCTTTGGAAGAGCAGTTTCCATAGAGTCCTGGGGGCAGAAGCATGACCTCTGGTGCAGGTGGGTGTTTTGACTCCCAGGAGAGGAGAAGGTGGGTGGGTGCACAAAGTGAAGAGTTTTGAGAAAGGAGCGTGGGGTAGAGAACCTCAGTTTCATCAGCTCAAACATTTAATGTGTACCTACTAGGCATCTGCCATACAAACCTAGGTCCTGCCCTCTAGGAGCTTACATTGTACTCATGAGGGTTCTGTTGTGGGCCCTAAAATGTTCATTCTTTTCCTTACTTCTTGGGAGTCTCCTCCGCTCTGTGGGCTTAGTTATCATCTTTACCCAGATGAGTCCTAGGCTCTCCCCTGAGCTCCAGCTCCGTATCACCAACTGCTTATTAGAGGTTTCAGACTCAGTGTCCCATAGACACCTCAAACGAGGGAAGTCCAAGACAGAAATCACCATCTTTCCCCCTTTTTGAATTTACCCATTTCTGTTGATATCACTGCCATCTAAATGATTGTCAAGTCCTGTTGATTCTACCCCCACATATCTCATATCTGTACTCTTCCCTTGATTCTCGAAGCCCCCACTCTGATTCTGGTCCTCCTTTCCTTTCAGTCAGATTTTTGTAACAGCCACCCAATAGGTGTCTCCCTGCCCCTTTCCCCTCTCTGATTCATTTTCCACACAGCTGCCAAAGTCACATTGCTAAGCACAGGCCCAACCATGTAACTCCCCTATTTAATAAACTCCAGCTAGGCAGCACACTGGATAAATCCGCTGGACCTGGAGTCAGGAAGACCCGAGTTCAAATCTGGCCTCAGACACTTAATATATGTGTGACCCTGGGCAGATCACTGAATCCTCAGTTTTCTCATCTGTAAAATGAACTGGAGAAGAAAACGGCAAACCAGTCCAGTGTCTTTGCCAAGAAAACCCCAGATGGGATCGTGAAGAGTTGGACATGATTGAAAATGACTGAACAATGACAAAATGTTTCTCTGTTGTTTCTAGTATCAAATACAAACTCTTCTGTTTGGTATTCAAATCCCTTAACAACCTGACTCCATCCTGCCTTTCCAGGCTCATCATACATTAGTAACCCTGCACACACTCTTAGTCTAGCCTAATTGACTTCCTTGCTGCCCCTCACACACGACATTCCACACCTCATCTCCCTCCCTTTGCACAGGCTTTCTGTCCCCCTCACCTGGAATGTCCACTCTTGCTTCTTAGAATCCTTGGTGTCCTTCAGAGTTCAGTTTGAATGCTTGTGCCTTGTGAGACCTTTCCTGATCCTGCCCAGCTGCTAGGGCTGTCCCCTCCCAAATTACCTGGAATATGTTTTATATATATGTTCAGTGCACATGCCTGCTCCCTGAACAGAATGAACGTCAGGTCCTTCAGGGCAGGGCCAGTTGTTGGATTTTTTCTTGGCATCCCCAGCACCTAAACTGCCCGGTACCAGCATATATTAGGCACTGAATAAATGCTTCTGGATTGATTGATAGAAAGAGAGGAGTCTGTATTACACAAGTGACAGGACAAAGGAAAAATGAGACAAAGCACTGAGAATGTTTTTTGGAGGAGAGAACATTGGCCTGGGGGATTGGGGAAGGCTCACGGAGGGTGTGCCACCCAAGGGTGGTCTTGAAGTAAAAGATGAGGTGTCTGAAAGGATGAAGAATGAGAAAGGAACGCATCCCAGCTATGGGAAATGACTTGCACATGCAGGGAGGTGAGAAGTAGCATGTAAAGTTCAAAGAACAGCCCATGTCCAATTGGGCTGGAACATAGAGTGAGTAAAGTGGAATAATAATGTGAACTAAGTGTGGAAAAGTAGACAGACTTTAAGCACCAGCTTGGGGATTTTATATTTTATGCTGTAGGCAATGTTTCCCTCCTGCCAACATTTATTTGGGAACAGATGTTATCGATTACTTGGTCAAACCTGTTGCTTAGGTTGGTGGTTTTGGCACCTGAGGGCAGGATATATTGGAGAGGAGAGAGACAGGGATGGGGGGACCAGTTAATAGGCTAAGGTGACATGGTCCCAAGTAAGCGGAGACAGTATGAATGGGGGAAAGGGGACAGTTTCCAGAGATGATATGGAAAGACTTGATAGGACTTGGCCATTGATCAACTCTGGGGGAGAGGGCCTTCAGGAGAAGGGAAGAACAAGATTTTGAACCTGGCTAACTGGGAGAATGGTTGTCCTTCATTACAAACTAGGAAAGGTTGGAGGTGTGGTGGACAACAATAAATACGGTTTTGGACATGTTGAATTGAAGGTGTGAATGAGATGTTTTTCAGTTAGCTGGTGAATTGGAACTTTTTCTGAAGAGAGCTTAGGGTTGGAAATCTAAATTTGGGAGTCATCTGCAAAGGACTGATTGAAAAAAAACTATGGGAGCTGATGAGATCATCAAGAAGTAGTGTGGAGAGACAGGCGGTTCTGGGTAACCACGGGGTCCAGCTTTAGGGAGTGGGAAATGGGTGATAAACCAGTAGAAGAGACTGAGTGATAGAGAGACGCAGAGGAGAACCAGGAGGTAAGTCTTCATGAACACCAAGGGAAGAGAGAATGGGGTGAGGCTGGGGGAAGAAGAGATAGTTAACAGTGCTGGAAGTTAAAGGAAGGTCAGTGATGAAAACAGCAGCATCTCACTTGTGTGTGACTTTTCAATAGAGTGCTGAAGTCAGAAACCGAATTACCAGGAAAGTAAGAAGTGAGTAGGTTAACAAAGAAAGGGGGAGATGTAAGATTAGATTGAGGGAGTGGAAGGGTCAAGTGAAGTGTTGGTATTTAAAATTAATCAAATTAATCAATAAACATTTATCAAGGGCCTACTATGGGGGGAGGGAGCTGTGCTAATTGTTGGGGATACAAAAGAGGCAAAAGACAATTCCTGCCCTCAGGGAGCTTACTGTCTAATGGGGAAGACTACATGCAAATAAATATATACAAAGTAAGCTATATGTAGGATAAATAGGAAATAATTAACAGAGAGAAGGCACAAGAATTAAGTGGGTTAGGGAAGACTTCCTACAGAAAGTAGAGTTTAAGTTGGGACTTGAAAGGAGTCAGGAGTCTGGAGTGGAGGAGAGAGAGCATTCCAGGCATGGGAGACAGCCAGAGGGAATGCCTTTAGCCAAGGTGGGGGGGGGAGGGGGGGACGGACCCCAGCAGCGGTTTTGAGTCTTGTTTGTGGAATAGCCAGGAGGCCAGGGTCACTGGAAGGAAGAGTACATGTTGGGGAGTCAAGTGTGAGGCTAGTATGTAGACAGTGGATGATGAAGGATTCAGTTTAGTAGATTTGGATTGGAGGTAGAGCAGTGCTTCATGGGACCGCTCATCAGAAAACAGGAGGGCACAAACAGAGAGGCTGGCCAGGGCCGCCTTGTCCTCTGGAGCACTAGAGAAACTGTGAAGAGGTTGCGCACTTCTGGAGAGAGCTCAGGAAGGCTCGTGTGGGCAGCTTGATTTCCTAAGGTAGTGGATGACTTCCTTTGCTGAGAGAAGCAGGAGAGGGTGGTCTTGAGAACGGTTTGGATGAAACAGCTGCTGCTAGAAAGTGATCTGCCCTAAGTGTGGGGTGTTGGGGAATTAGAGAAGAAAGTTTTGGAATGAACACATAGGAATGAGCTGGAGAGTCAGTGAGGCCACAGGATTGCTGGATTATCTAGCAACAGATCTGGGGCTAGATGTCAGGCTTCTTGGTTCCCTGTTCAGTGCTTTTCCTATTCTCTGTCATGCTGCTTTTTTGATCATATCACCATGTTAAGATCCCTTGATCTTAACTGTTCTCTTATAACCACTTGTCATCTTCCTGGGAAAATGGAAAATTAAATTGTATTATCTAGCGACAGCCTGCCCCTAGACCTGAAAACTGTTTTTTCTTTGACCTGGCCTGAGGTGTTAATTCTCCATGTTGGTAGTAATTGAAGCCAAAGAACTTTTAAGTAAAACTCAAAAAAATCTTGAAGTAGACAAAACTCTCCACTATAAGTAAGGGAAGAAAAAGTTACTTTTTTTTGTTGATAGCTTTTGTTTTTGTATCACCTGCATTTCCAAATGAATCCTAACCCCTCTTCCTCCCAGAGCCCCATTTTGTACAGCAAAGAATAAAGAGAACCGTTCCTCAAAATTAACCACGTTGAAAAACATCTGATATTATCTGCAGTATTATGTATTATTATGCACTGTTTTATTATGTATTATTTTTCCCAAAGATTTTAATTTTTCTTACTTTGATATTTCTGTTATCAGTTGACTTCTGTTGTAATCCCATGCTTTTCAGTAACTAACCAAGAGTGGTCACCTCTTGTTTATAGTGACCGAATTTTCCAAGAAGACTGGTGATTACCCCAGCCTTTCAGCCACAGATATCCAGGTGTTGGCCTTGACTTACCAGTTGGAGGCAGAGCTTGTGGGGGTGGCTCACCTGAAGAAAGAGCCAGAAGCAAAGGTATGGGATCCCTTGATTGAAGCAAATGATGGGTTGCTTTTTGGGGAAGGTCAGGAAAACAGCTTTCTTAATTTAAATCTGAACACATGATAAACCTGCACAGCACTGCCCACAGGGACTGGGAAACCAAAGTGATCAATTTGAACTGTTTTGGTGAATTTGTGATCACGTCTGCTTGAAATTCCCCTTTGAGGACTGTAAGGTAATATTATCCCATATTTCTAAAAGCTGTGTCCTACCAAGTGTAATGAGTAAATTAATCTTCATCTCACGACCACCTGCCAAAAGAACTGTAAATTGCAGTTCTGGTTTTAAAGGTGCTTTGTGTACAGTGTTGTGCGTGGGGGCAGAGGTGGTGAGTGTGTATCCTCACTTTGTTTTCTTACTCAACCGTCCCTCTTGTACTGCAGGTTAAAGTGAGTTCGTCAGGGCTACATCCAGAAAATCCTCTCCATATTCCTGGCTTTCACCTGCCTTCCAAGGTAATCTTTTGTCCTAGCTCCTGAGAGGCTACAGGATGTAGTTCTGTGGGCAGTGTTCATTCCGATTTTGATGGTCTGCTATGCTGCAGACCTGCAGAGCTGGCTCATTCTTTATAATCTGCCGTCCTCAGTCATTTTCTTTCTAAAAATTTCAGCCCAAACTTCCAGAGGAAACCGTCTGTCCTGTGCCTCCCGCTGCCCAGCCTGCTGAGAACGTAGAGTATAATTCCTTTCTGTTCTGGAGAAACCCTTTGCCCAATATCGATGTCGATCTTCAGGAGTTGACGGTGAACTTTCTCCCTTGGTCCTTGGTGACAGCAATTTGTTTCTCCTCAATTCTTCTATATGTTGAATTTTTATGAATTTTTGATTTTCCAGGCTGGAGAAGATCAAAGTGTCCTAAGTGAGGGAGAAGAGAATGAAAGAGGAGAAAAAAGTGAAGGTAGTGCTGAGGAGGATGAGGATGGGGATGATGAGGATGAGGATGGAGGATGGATAACACCCAGCAATATTAAACAGGTCCAGCAAGAACTGGGACAGTATGACAGTCCTGATAATGTCCAGGTTGGCTGTGTAACCACAGACTTTGCCATGCAGGTAAGGTAATAAGCAATCTCTGAGCTAAATTTTTGGAAAGTTTACTAATCTAGATTGTGGCACACTTGTACTTTATCCAAGCACATTTTCTTCCCTTGTAAAAGCCCAGTCCAAGGCATTCAAAGAACATTTCACTCACTTTCCGTCTTTGGGACTTGAATGCTTTGTTGTTATAGTAGTATCACTTAGTTAAAATGTTGTATGGACCAGTTTAAAGCTTTGATCCCTCATTCTAATTTCCGTTGTTCATATTTCAGGTTTATCGATATCTTTATTCTCAGTCAAATTTTAAAGAAAGGGTGTTTTGCCACAAAGACAGTGTATTTGATATGAAAGAATATGACTTTTGTGTGCTAAAATTTTGGTAACTCATGAGACCTGGAAAAACTGGTGATTTTATTGATCGGGATGGTCATAGTCCTCACACGTAAAAGCATTTGAAATTATAGAAATGTTTGTGCCCTTGTCTTTGGTCTCATATATCTGGCAAGGTGTATAAAACCCACTTTTCTTTACGAAAGCCCTGTTCAAGCAAGAACCGAGGTGCTATGTGCCCTTGTTTCTGCTGATTGGCTCATTGGGGTGCTGTGAGGTTCACCTTTGTTTGAACTTTCCGATTGCAGAATGTTCTGCTCCAGATGGGGCTCCACGTGTTGGCAGTGAATGGGATGCTCATCCGGGAGGCCAGAAGCTACATACTGCGTTGTCACGGCTGCTTTAAGTACGTGGGGTTCATTGAATTTCAGAAGAGAAGATGCTTGGGCTTTCTTACAGCTGGTGTGTCAGAGCCCTCAGTACTTGAAGGGAGTTGATGTGAGTCTGTTACTGCTAGATTAGTGTAGGGCATGCCATGAGGGCAAACAGAAGTACGAGCTTATGTATAAATACTTTGTCCTTCAGTAATTACGGCAGAATAGTGGGTTTAATTGATTGAGCCACAGGTACAAAACATTGTGCTGAAGTCTGTGAACATTCAGCTCGACATGCCAGAGGATACGGGATTAGTCAAGGAGAGGGAAGACAAAACGCAGGTGAGCATCAGGTTGTGAAGATGACCACATGACGAGGCCCCTGCCCCCAGCCAAGAAAGCACCATGGAGGCCACACCAGAACCGCACCAGGGCACATCTGGAAAAATGAAGCAGAATTTCTGTTACACTTTAGCATGGGGAACTGCAAACATTCTTCTTCCCATTCATTTTGTGGATGGTGATGGAAGATAACATAAGCAAACATTTAGTCCAATGCCCTCATTTGCAGAAGAAGAAATTTAAACTAGTTTAAACTCTCAGACGAGGTGACATAGAATAGGCTTTTTAAAGTAGTAGCTAGGTGGCTGTCCAGGAGTAAAAACAGCAGGGTGATACCAGTAGGTCACCTGGGCCTTTCTCGTGTATAATCTTTGCAAAGGTAGTAACAGGGACTCTCAGGGTGCCCTTCCCTCCACGATCCCCTGCTAATCTAGCCCAGGGCCTCTGTCAGTGGGGAGCAGTGTCTGCCCTCCAGTATATACACAGTCTTCTTCCTCCTAAGGCGACTGCTCTTTTTGTTTCTTGCTGTAATGTGGTTGGACTGTAGTGGTATAGTTGAAATTATCTTTTCCCCAAACCTGTGTATATCGCTAATAAATTTAATTCCTCAAACACGTGCTCATTCCCCTGAGAGCTTGTGAATGATCTCCATTTTTTAGAAATCAGCTCTGAGCATAAGGAATAAGTGCTTACACAAGTGAGTAAACACTCCTAGATCCGAGTAAGAGGTGTGAGGAGCATCTTGGCAGGCGTTCTGTGTACGTGGCTCACTGTACTCGGGTGCTGGGGGTGGGGTGACAGGAGTTAGGTCAGAGACTATACCTGCTTTCAAGGAGTTTACCCTCCAGATGAGGGAAGAAGACGCTAACGCAGGCAGCTGTGGTACATGATCTTACCCGATGGTGCATTGAAAAGTTCTAAAACAAAGTATCGTTTAAGGGCACAGAAAATCAGGTCGACTTGGGGGGAATCAGAGGAGGCTTCCTGGAGGAGGGGATATTTGAATTGAGCTTAAAAGGAACTTGGAGGTGCAGGGGCAGTTACGATATTCAAAGGTCCCTTCCTTACAGGTAAGGAAACAAGCTCAGAGGAGCAGTGACAGGTGTTGGTGGCAGAGCTGGAGCTACCATGGAGGCCTTCTGGCTCCTTCCAGCATTCTTTTCAACCATACTATGCCAGCTGCACCTTATTGAAATTCTGCATATTGTAGGGATTTTGTGATCTCTTGTCTGGATTCCCCATTATTTCCTGTTGGTCTCCAGACCACATCAAAAGCTTCTCCAGCACAGTGATTATATTGTGTGCTTTTATATCCTCCACAATCCCAGGCACACAATAGGTAACAGGAAACCCCATGCAGGGTATTTTGTTGTTCCATTGTTTTCTTGGCGAAGATACTGGAGTGATTTGCCATTTGTTTCTCCAGCTCATTTTACAGATGAGGAAACTGAGGGTGAAGTACCTTGCACAAGCAGGATGAAGTGATTTGCCCGAGGTCACACAGCTAGTGAGTGTCTGAGGCCAGATTTTAACTCAGGAGGATGAGTCCTCCTGACTGTAGGCCCAGCACTCTGTCCACTACACCGCCTAGCTGCCAAAATAAGTGTTTGGCTCTTTAGAAATGTCTCCTAAACTGACATTTAGGGGTTTGAGCTATAAGAATTTGTCCCTTGAAGAACTGCAGTGACATTGTAAGAATTTGTTAATTCCTTCCATTTCACAGTTTGTTATTGGAACCTTTGTGGCCCAGCTCCTGGAAGAATGTAGAGGGTTTTACTAGGCCTTTGGTATTGAGGCTGTTTAAAGAAGCTTTCCAGAAGTCATGAATAGCTGTACCTATTACCATTCAGCTCTTTTGCCAGCTCTTCCACACTGTCAGCTCCAGGTGGGTGGGTTTGCTGCCCACAGCTCAGGCCTTTCCTTCTGTGTCCTTCAGGACCACCTCCGACATGATGAGGGTCTTCTGTGCACATTGTGGAAACAGAACACTGAAAAAAGTGGCCGTGACAGTCAGCGATGATGGCAGCCTTCACATGCACTTCTCCCGCAACCCCAAGGTGCTGAATGCACGTGGCCTTCGGGTGAGTGGTCAGCCCATCGCCTGCTTCCGAGCAGAACCTCAAGGTTGATGGGAAGGTTTGGGGAGCTCCAGAACTTCAGTGATTAGCATCACTGGCATTTGAATTAACAGACAGAAATGTGTCAGTCTGAGTGAGGCCTGCAGGGTAGAGGGGAAGGAGGCACGAGGCCACCTAGGGGTACTTGGCAAGAAGTCTGTGCTCAGGTGTGGTACAGAGACAGGGAAACCAGAGGGGCGGGAGTGAATGAGCCAGGTTTTCAAAGACTGTCCATCTTCCCTTGTTTTCCAAGATGAGCACAGGAGTAAAGTGTAGTAGGAGGAGGGATTCTGAGCTGGTCTCATTATTTCTCCTTTGCCATATCCATGCTTGTCTGACACACTAAAACTGTTCCAGAATGACCAGGAAGTACATGATTGACAACAGGAATGTGTTAGGACGTGTCAGATTCTCCCTGGGTGGGTTCTTGTTCCCTCGAGTCTAACAGGCGTTCTCCTCTGTGTGTAGTATTCCCTTCCTGCTCCCAAAGGAGGGAAGCATGCCAACAACCCCCACCTGACGGAGGACCAGCGATTCCCACAGCAGCGACTGTCCCGAAAGGCCAGGCAGAAAACCAACGTGTTCGACCCTGATTACGTAGCAGGGGTGTCTCCCTTTGTGGAGAATGATATCTACAGCCGGGCAGCCACGCTGCAGATCAGAGACAGTGCGTTGGGTGCCGGAAGGAGGCGCTTGAACCCCAACGCTTCAACAAAGAAATTTGTAAAAAAGAGATGAAGGAAAAAAGGGGAGCCCCTAGGACGAGGCTGAGTGGCTGCTGTGAAGAGACCTTTCTCAGCCTGCTGTTTTCAAAAGCTTTGGAAGGCAAGAATGGGTCAAGAGCTTATGTTTGAATGTCACCTTGAGGACAGTTCTCTTAGGACTTGGACCCTGGATGAAACTGAATATTGGCTTTATCTCCAGTGAATTCTGGCCTGTCAGTGTGAGGCTGGCTTGACTTCCCACCACTTTCAATGGAATTTGTAAAGAAAGGAAATAATAGTGCCCTGCAGCACCTCTCTATTTTCATGTACCTTTAAAGAGAGAGTGCCTGTCTCCGCGTATTTTTCTAATAAATATGCTGTTCATATGCTTTTTATTCTTTTCATTAAGCACCTCTTTTATTCCTTAGCATTTATGGCAGCCAAAGGTGACATCTATGTTGAAGCCAACTCTAGTTTGAAGGGATAGTAAAGAGTACTTTGGGGGCTTTTGAATGTTTTAGGGCCACCAAGAATTAAACTGCTGTGGCTATCATTGTGTAAGATGAGTATACACTAGTGCCCTTTGTGGGTCATGTTTGAATCCATTGAAAGAGATTTCTCTGCCTGCTTTAAAGATGACAGTCTATCTCCTTCTCATGAGGGGCCCTTGTGTTTTGAAGGGTATTTCTCAGATTGAGAGGCTGCATGGGGTGGCCTGGGCTCAGGTTTGGCCGCTGAGATATTTTGTGACCACAGGCATGAGTCACTTCTCAGTGCACCCTTGGTGACTGAGACTTAGGTTACAGATTGCTGCCTTGGTGGGGGGAGTTTGACTATGAGGTGTTTACTAATAAAGTCACAAGTCTAAGCCAAAGACAATTCAGGTTGAGTGCAATTGGAGTAAAAAGAAGTTTGTTGTAAATGATTCAAGTCATTCTTATGTTTAGCTTACTATACAGTGAGTGACAATATATGGCATATAGTGTCTTTGTTGTACCTAATTGTCTGAAAAGGAGTCACATTTTCCTCCTAAGCACCCTGAAGGTTTCATACTGTTTATAGGATCACAGATTTTGAGCTGGGAGGAAGAACCTTAATGGAAATCTGATCCTGAACCCCTCATCTTTTAGATGACAGAGCTGAGGCCCAGGTCCAGCTGCAGATCCAGGACTCTCCATTCCACTGTGGTTGTGGTAGTGTGGAAAGTAATCAGCTTTTGGATGAAGTCTGGGGTCAGCGCAGCTGTCTTAGAACTGATATGAAAAACTTTCTCTTAGTCGCCCACAGTGGGGCACAACAGCCATTGGTCGCTTCCATAGGAGTCTTTTACAATGAGCCCATTAGCTGAGGCAGTTGGGGATATTGGAGTGTGAATTGGGGTTTTTCTCTGCTTGGGATCATGGTTTACAGTGCTCAGGATGTTTTAAGCCTACATATTAAATTAATGTGAAATTCATCAGTTCCAAGAAAATGTTTCCACATACAAAGTACTCCAGATAAATAAAGACGAAAGCAATATGGCCCGTCCTCTCCAGGAGTTCCAGATAATACAAAGATTGAAAGAGGGGCAAAGGAGACCTTCAGTCTGTGGGGATCAGGAAAGACTTGATATCTGCAGCAGGTGGCAGTAGAGAGGAAGGTCTCCAGACCAGAGGTGGGAGGTGACTTGACCAATTCAGGTAACAGTTTTAGTGTGAAGTTGTTGTGTTTGATTGAAATGTCCAGTGTGTGGAAATAAGAGGAACTAGGCTTGTGGACAGCTTTACCTGTCAGGTTGAGGAGTTTGTACGTTATCCTAGGGGCAGTAGGGAGCCACGGTGTGTATAGGAGTCAGACCTCTGTCTGCCTTAGTAAGATGCTTTTGGCATCTGTGTAAATGAGTTGGAAAGGGGAGGAAGTGTAGGCTATTACAGTATCCAGAGGGAGTGAGAACCTGGACCAGGCTGTTAGCATTGTGAACAGAGAAACTCGGAAAGATGCATTTGGCAGCTGATTGGATGTGGGACCTCAGTGAAAGCCAGTGATGCTTAAGGTTTTGAGCTGGGTGTTGAAGATAAAGATGTCACCAACAGTGTTAAATCTGAGGGAGTGACGAATTTAGACATGGGCAGATTTTGGCCTTGAGTGGGACACTATGTGAAATGTTTACCATGCAGTTAGTGACATAAACCTGGAGCATAGGGCTGCATATATAGACTTGGGAGTTGGATAGAGTTGATCATTGAACCCATGAGAATTGATGACTTCACCAGATTTGAAAATAACCAATCTCCAACTCAGGGCTGTATATAAGTTGGCTTATATGGGATTAACCAAAGACTGGGATCAGTGGTATAGTTAGAAAGAGACCCAGGAAAAATAAAGCATTTATTAAGTGCTGGGCCCTGTGCTAAGTGTTGGGGATACAATTACCAAGCCAGCAAGGTAGTCCCTGTCCTCAAGGATCTTCCATTCTAATGGGGAAAACATCACAAAGGGGAATGGTGTTGCAGGGGCATGGTGAGAAGCCTGAGGTCTTGTAAGATAAGGGAAAAAGGTTGATTTATCAAAGCTGGGGAAGCCAGGGATGGAGTCCAAATTTTCCAGTGAGGTGGGGATGATTGCAAAGGAGGGACTATGTGAAAAAACCTGCAGGAACTCTGACTAGTGTCCTGGAGAGAGGAAGACATCCAGAAACAAGGAATCCACAACATTGGCCAATGCCACAGAGAGGCCAAGAAGGACCGTTGGATTTAGTGATAAAAAAATACCTGCTGGGGGCAGCTAGGTGGCGGAGTGGGTAGAGCACCCACCCTGGATTCAGGACAACCTGAGTTCAAATGCAGCCTCAGACACATAACACTAGCTGTGTGACACTGGCAAGTCACTTAACCCCCACTGCCCAACAAAAAGAAAAAAAAAGAGCAGAAATACCTGCTAGCCTTGGAGGGAATGGCTTCAGTCAAGTTGAGTTCAGAAGCCAGATTGCAGGGTGTTGGGAATTGTGAAGGAGGGAAGAAAGTGTACATTTGAGTAAGGCCAGCACTTCCTAGGAGTTTGGCCATGAAAGAAAGATACAAGACTATAGCCAGAGGGCATGGTGAAGTCAAGGGAACTTGGTGTTTGGATAGGATGGGGGGGCCCCTGTTTATAGGCAGGAGAGAAGGAGCCAGTGGATAAGGAGAGGTTAAAAATGAGGAAAAGAGGGCATCATTAGAGGATTGAGTCACCAGAGGAGATGAGGAGGTCAAGGGCAGGAGGGGCTTATGCAATGAATGACCTCAATTTTTTTTTGTTAAAGTAAAATAGGGGCTTCTGCTAGGAGACGGGTGAAGTAGTGACAGTGACTTGAAAAGTTTTGGAACATCTGCTGCAGGAAATATTAACAGAAGAGATCAGGGCTGAGAGTGAAAGGATCAGCACACCCTGGAAGGGGGCTTGAGGACTCTGGATGACATATTTGTAATGGACTCACCCAGTCAGCAGCGGTGTGTGACTTTCTCTAGGGGCCTCTGTGACCAGAAATGCCCATGAGCCACCAGGAGCAGGGTGGAGAGACAGTTACTGTGCCCCTAATCCAGTCAGACTTTGGAGCTGATCGTTTGCTGCCATGAGATGACCACAGAAACAAGTCTTTTTTGCCAGAACAGCCTTGAAAAGGAAGGCTTCTAGGATCAGAGCTACAGAGCAGGAGAGGGCCTTTAGAGCCTGTCAAGCCCAAGCCCTTCTGTTTACATATGAAGAAAGTGAGGCACAGAGGTGTTAAGTGACTTGCAGGTAATAAGTATCTGATTCAACCCTGGATATTCCTGACTGCAATGCCAGGAGTCTGTCCACTGCACCACCCACCATTCTCCTTCCCTCTCATACAATGTCCTTGCCAGCGTTTTCTCCACCATGCTGTGGGAACTCTCACCCGGAGCTTTCTCAACCACCTCCCCACTTCAACTGGCCTTGCATTGTGGCTACACCCAATCTCCCTTCCATTGTTTTACTTTCCTGTGGCCCCTGGCCATTTCCCACCCTTAATCCTAGCTAGGCACCATGAGGTCCAGGACCTAGGAGTTCTGTTCACCCCAGCTTACTAGCCACTCCCATCCAGATCTCCTTAGACCCCGCCAGTCACTCCAAACTACTTGGCCACTCCTAGATCCCTCCCACAGTCTTTCTGTACTTAAGATTCACCTTAGCCCCCATTCAAAAGCTGAGCTTTCCTCACGCCCAAAAGGCTGAGACTGTCTCATACCCGCTCATCCTTACCAGCGTCACCTGGCCTGACCACGTTAGCCCCCATTCACATGCTGGGAATTTCTTATGCCCAAAGGCTGAGACTCTCATGCCGACTCGTCCTCATGGGCGTTACCTGGCCTATATGTGATTTATCTTTAATAAACTTTTTCTCTGGCTGGAAGAAGATTTGGGTTGAATTCATTCAGGCAGACTCGTGTCGCGATCTTGGGGTTCAGCACCCCAAAACCTCTACACCTCTTCAATTCAATATGGCTAAAACCAATTATATGAAATAAGGTCAGAAAGGTAGGCAGGAGAGCACACTGTAGAGAGTTTTAAATTCCATCCTGAGGAGTTGAATTTTTTTTTTCCTAGAGGCAACAGGTCAAATTCTTTTCACCCAAATGCCGTTATAATAAAAAGTTAGCTTAGCCAAAAGTATTCTCACAATCCCAGCAAAACCAAACACAATCCCATTAGACAATGCCATGGAGTCCACCATCAGGGCATTTGCCCTCTCTAATAGCCATCTTGATGGTGAAAAGAGGAAGTGAGGGGAGAATGATTTAAAGCAGGTGATTATATTGTTTTCTTCCCAAATGCAGAGATCTGCCCCCTCCAGGGAAACTTGGCCGGTATCCACAGGAACCATATCAAGGGACAACAAACTTCTGAATTCCCCAGATGCACCAAGACAGGTGCTCTGGGTGAGTGTCCCAGGTCCATCATCTATGTCTCAGAGAAAAGCAAAGGGGCTTTGGGGACTCCTTGTGCAAGAAAGATGTTGCATGCATGGACACAAAGCATTACCTGGTGCCTAATGAGGCTGTTTATATTCTCTGGTCGGGAGGATGGGGGAGGGGAGCCAGAGGGGACGTGGAGGGGGGGGGGAGGAGCCTCAGGAGAATTCCTCCACCCCCAGCTTTTTTATTTCTGGCTGTGGATAACAAGTGCCATTAACAATGCCTTCATAAGACTAACTGGTCTTGAGCGGTACCCTGGGGAAGAATGCCTCAAAGGCTTCCTCCATGTTCAGTGATGTACCACACCAGGAATATTCCAGCAGGGACATATTATGTATGTAAGATGTAAAAGATGTAAAACTGAAAGTCTAAGGTAAACTAAATTAAACCTCTAAACGTTTTTCATTTCGTGGGCTGCCATGAAAACCTATGAAAGCATTGCCTAAGACAAGGAGG